TGGTCAGACAGGCTGGTGTGCTTCTTCCATATGGGCTTTGATGCTTCTCAGCTAGATGGCTGCTTGTTTGTCTTCAAGCCTTTAAGACCCCAGATGTTATATCTTATGGTAGCCGGGCACCATCAGCTTTCTTTACCACCTTTGCTTATGTTCATATTTTTCTTCAGCAATCGTGTAGGGAAGGTGTGCATCCTGGAATGCCAATTTAATAGAACAATGTGTTCTTGCAATGAGTACTTGCTTGGGTGGAGGCCCAAAGTCCATCTGCTTCCTTAATACTAAACCTATGAATATATGCACGTTGATCTGTTTCCGCAGACTCTTATATAAATATATTTACATATGTGCATTCCAGTCTTAAAACCTCTCTACTTACCCTTTGTCCAGTAGTTATTTCCTCTATTTCCATTTACTTTCCTCTTGTCCCAGATATTAGCCTTTTGCAGTGAAGTTGTGAGAGAGATGTTTGTACCCATCGTCCTGGTCGTATTAGGGATGTGCACCTCTTTATCTGAGGTATCATTGCCCAGCTAACCAGGGCCTCTCTTTCATGGGGCAGAGACTAGTTTTTACCTAAACATACAGTTCTTTGCAGGAAAAAGCACTTTTTACTTGAATGTTCCTATGACTGACAAGTCAGAAGCACAAATAAAACACAAACTCCCTACCATCAAGTCTGTTCTAACTCGCTGAGTAGAACTGCCCCTGTTTCCAAGTCTGGAAACCTTTCCAGGGGTAGAAAGCCCCATCTTTCTCACTCGGAGCAGCTGGTGTGGGCAAACTGCTAACCTTGCAGTTAACCACCCAGAGTGTAACTCACTTTGCCACCAGAGCTCCTAGCTGGAAGCATGGTTCTGCAGAAATAAGACCACACTGATAACGCTGGAGTTGTTCATTAAACTGGATTTCCTGTATTCTCTATTCTACACAACTTCCATGGGATAACTTAGTGGTGCTGTGCTATTTGCTGTGAAGGAACACACCAGAAAATAGGAGAAAACCTTTAAAAATATTCAACTATTAGTGCTAATTATATTTTATGCCATTCTTCATCCCCACTAAATACTCATATTCCTGTGATTCTTAAAATAGACTTAATTTAAAGGTAAAACATGCATTCTTAAAAAAGTAATCATTATTTTAAAAACTTTGTATTTTGTGATCAAGTTTAGAGAACTCTCTTATTTTGTTAGAGATCTTCTTGGGTAACGGATTCTTAATTTTGGATAGTGAAATGTTCAGTCATTGCAGTCTTTATTGTGACTCTATGACTGTTCATAATCTGCCTCTTCCTTGCTCCTGTGGAATGTTCCTGGCCTCCTGGCCTACGGCATTATTGCCCCATTGGCTTTTTTGTTTACTAGACAGTCCATTTCTACCACAGTGATGGCACCAACCATTACATCTGCCTGGAATCTTCTTGCCCGTGGCTTCCCCCTGCTGGTTCCTTCTGTCATTACAGTCTGAGCTCACATGGCACCTGGTTAGAGGGATCTTCTTTTGGTTTTGTTTGCCGATCTAAGTGACCTCCTCCCCTGATCATATTTTATTGTCCTTTATCACAATCTGAAATGATATGGTTCATGTGCTTCTTTATTTTTGCCTTTCTCATTTCACACCATCCCCAATAAAATGTCAGCTGTCTGAATTTTCACCACTGGATTCCAAAATCTTTAGGATAATTCCTGGCATATATATAATTTCCAGCAATAAAAAGTATATACATATATAATCATACTTTTGAAAAATGAAAGATATTTATTTACCCTTTTATTGAACTATTGAAGGGACTCAGAGTAATGCATCATGATTTGATCAGAGGCCAGGTAAATTGCATTATTTTTTTAAAAGGACATGGAAGAACGTTATGCCTCAGTTGCTCATTATAATAATATCATGCAGAATTGGGTGTGGAGCACCTTAATATTCCTTCATTCCTGCAAACAGATGGTGTCTCCTGTGAATATTTCTTGCCATTGGAAGGTGATGCTTCGGTACCTTCTGTGATGAGTTGTTCACCATCTCTGGAGAGAGTAGTTTCTATCTTCAGGCGTCTTAGCCTGTTGGAAGCTTTTCTGTACGTTCAGCAGACATCTACTAACCAGAACTTTCATCCATTAGTTCTGGTTCACCCCTTGTGGGACCACCAGAAACAATCCTTCTCCTCATCCACACAATAGACCTTCAGATATTTGAAGACAACTGCCATTGACCTTTTTCCTCATTAGTACTTTTTTCTTCAGATTAAGTATTCGTTTTATGTTTCTTGATAATTTTTTTCATCCTTCTTTGAAAGTATATACATATATATATATACACACACAAATATATATGGCAAGTATAGCCCAAGTAGTTGAATAAATCAATGCCGTCTTGCCACAACATATTTTAAGATCATAAAATCAATTGGGGAACGATTCCAGATATGATAATTATAGTTTGATATATTTAATTTTAGATGAAATAATTCTGGAACATATTTTAATTATATCTGGCATTGCTTCGTTTTGTCCCTGCAGTGGTTTGGGGACCTTGTGACCCCGGTTTGGTGGGAGGATGTGTGGCTGAAGGAAGGCTTTGCTCACTATTTTGAATTCGTTGGCACAGACTATCTCTACCCTGGCTGGAACATGGTGAGTGCACCTTTCTATGATTATATGAAAGTCCAGTGACAGGCTGAGCTGGTGTTGCTTTGGGCTATTGTTATGGCCCAAAGTGCCTAAAAATACCAAGTGATTCATGAAAAAAGTACATATCTAGTAATAATGCAACCAGTTTTAGAAGTGATAGTAATCTAAAAAGTTACCTTGTATTAGCAGTGAAATAGCGATATATTTCTTATCCATTGATTTTGAAATACTACACCACATCTTATCCAAGTGGAAACATTTAACCTTGTGGCATGTGATAGAGAAGGCAGCAGTAATTGATAAGTTATATTTTAAATGTATTCTGTATTTCAATATGTGGCTATGTGAGAACTTTCTTCCATTGATAAAACAAACAAACCATAGCTAACATATTTGGTGCATTGTTCTCAGAGATTTACATAATCTAACAGTAAACTTAAATCATAGAAGTATGCATTCACTTTATTCATGAAGAACAGTATAAATTATGTTCAGACTCCAGAAATCTACTTATACATTTGAACCTGAAGTCGAGTCTATTGTTTTTTATGTAGTGATGATGTTCAAGCACATTCGTAAGAAAAAATAGGGAGATAATGTGGTTTGCATATTCCTTATTTTGTAAGTTTTCTTATCGTATATAAACTTCCAGTAATAATATTAATCCTTATGTTAAATGTGCCTATATCAAATGGAAGGGTTTTTAAATTGTACCCTAGATATATGGAGGTTTAGAATTTAAAATTTTAATTTATTATAACTAGGACTGTGTAAAAATTCCTAAGTACCAAAATTTCACCAAATTAAAAAAGATTGAATTTTATCTGTGATATAGCATAGGCGATATAGTTTTTATACCTTTTATACCATTTTAGATATTATAAACTAAGATGAATAGGTGATTATCTAATTTCAAGTCATTATTCCAAGTGATGTGCAGATAATGTAAACCAAGGGGAAAGCTGAAATCTGAAAGTCATGATGCAACTTCTTTACCATTAATTCAACTAATTCTTGCTGATTAAATAATGTGACCTTACACATCCCTCAGAGGAAATGCTACAATGGTAATTCCCTTTTGATATCTTTTAATTATGTTCCTTCAATTTTGCCTATGTCTTATAAAAGCAATGTGTTTACTTTGAATAAATGTATGTTTACTTAGATTTGTATAGCTGGGTATATGCATAAGGCATTTAAAAAAATCTTATAAGAATTATTTTATGTTGACATTGGTGGTAATTAAAAATCCTTCATATATATATATATGAAAAAAATCAACAATCACAAGAAATATTATTATTTGATATATTGTTTAACAAAAATAAAATATTATAACTTATAATTATATGAATTATAAATATTCACAATTATGAAAATGATGAGTATGTCTTAGATTAAAAATAATCAACAGAAGTACACATGACATCCTTGATTATCATGGAACAGTAAGATTGCTTAAGTTTCAATGGCCATATTCTGAACTTTGAGTTTGAGAAATTTTTTAAAGAAAATATTTCTTCATCATTTCCCTTTGTTATCAACATAGGTTCTCTATGAACATTTTTTGTAAGGGGTATTTAAAAAAACCATGTTGTCTAAATAACATAAGTGAGACTTTGCCCTTGCTAGAATACAGGCCAAGCTGTGAAAGAACAGAAATCTGTGGTGATCAAGATATCAGATATGTCTTTTAAATATATATTTTATACTTAAAAAATGGACACAATTACAGTGAGATGGAAAACTCCCTTATAAGACTAAGAAAGAATGACTAACCTTCATCATTATTAATTAGACATTTAGTCACGAGAAATAACAAGTCCTATGATGATACCTCTGTGTTCCTCTTATAAAAATTAAAAATACTTTCCTTATCATTGATGACACTGTCTTTTCAGTAGCTTGCTTTATTTAGTTTATAAAGAGCTCCCAATATATTAAATACACACAATCTGTAAGAAGGAGCCCTAAATAAATTGACTTTCTGGATACTATTACCTCCTTTTAGAGAAAAGTCTTAAGTTAGCCGTATAAAAAGAGAGAATATTAAGTGGTTTTACGGCTGTCCCAGCAATATTGTTCATAATGGCATCAGCAAAAGTGTGAAAGAATACGCAAAAGAATACGAGAGCCAGCTGTGTCAGCAGTAACTTATACTGTTGTGATCTGCCCCAAAGCTTCGCTGGAAGTGCACGGCTTGGGCTTCACAAGAGCTGAGACTGAAATAGAAAAACCAAAAGTCAGGCCCATGTCGGAAATAAAAAAATTTGGAAGCTGACCTATTTTGCTTCTAAGTTCAAAACAATGCTTTAATTATTTTTAGGCATGAAGGCTCATACATTAAAATACAATTTAAATTTATTAAAGAGGTTACTTTGGACTATCTGCCTTCTGTAGAGTATCAGTAAAATAGCTTCAAATTATTTTGTACTCTTAATAAAGCTCTCATAATGATCTGGGCTAGTATATTTGCATTGTCTGCTTAACTATTAAATCTGAGTATGTGTGTGTCTTTTCAGAGCCCATTTCTAACATAGAAATAATCAGTTTTTACGATTGTAACACAACATGTATGACTATTTGGTTCATAAACAATGAAGTCAACCTTGGACATTTCATGTACTATGATTTAAGGTGGGCCAATGAATGGGAGACATTCTAAGTATTTGTACCTCTCTGGCTCATCCTTATCATTTAAAAAAATTAGACTACTCTGTTACTGATACTAAGCTCACATGTTTGTTTGTTTGTGAAGATTAAAAGACTTGTGAGGCCTTTGAAATGTATGAACTTCTATACAAATGTGGGTAAGCAACCTGGACCTGGAAAATGAATGCTCAATTAGAAAGGTGCATTGATTTTATATAGAGAAGTCGCTAACATTTCCAACCTCAGTAAACCACTCTGACACTCTAGATTTATTTCAATTATGTTTAGATTACAAAATAATTTCTATAAACTTTATATCAGGCCTCAGTCTCACCAAATCAATTCTTCTCTCTACTGGCAACATGAACTACTGTACTCTATAGGAACATAAGCCTTAGATAATGTTTCATTCATCAAAGAGAATTGTCAAGATCATTAGAAGCAACTTCTTAGCTCAGGGCTAAGGGTACATTTCAAGTGGCAAGTGGTCTTTTTGTTTGACATTATTTTATCAAAGTTGGCTGTTAGTGACAACTTTATTGAATAGATCAAGTTATGGTTTGCTGTTGATGGCAGCTGTATTAAATCTTATTGTTCCTCAAAGGGATGGAAAAGAAAAACTAAAACAACATGAAATTGCTAGTTTTCAATGAGTTTTTATCATTTTAAACCGAAAAAGGCTATGATAATATAATTTTAATATAAGGAGAAGATGTACAAATAAATGCTGTGATGAACTCTATTTTTCATAGATTGGATGCTGATGCATGTTAAATCAAAGCCCTGTGCATATTAGATAGGTTTTCATTGTAATTTGTATAGTACATATTTCTATATTGTCAGTGTGTCCTTGAGTCTCCTGAAAGTGGCATTGTAAAGAAATGCTTCTACAATGACAATCATTTTATGTGGGCTTATGTTCTTTTATTAAATGAATTGCATATTACAGAGTCTTATCCAATAAGAAGCTTTTAAGTTGAACACTAATTAAGGTCTTCAGACTGGAGATTCACCCTAAATTTTGAGGACACACACCTGACAGAGAGATAAATAATAATGTAGAATCATGAAGTTCATTTCATTTTTCTTACTAATTAGCACATTACAAAATATATGGATTAAACCCTTGCTAATTATCCTCAACGATCTCTAATATGGGCAAAACTAAAGGAATAAAAATGAATTGTGCCATTAGATTCAGTTTCTTTGTAATGTGCACCAACAAAAAAAAAAAACTGTAACAGGCATGACAATAAATTTAAACTCACCTTTTAAATAATTTTATTTTCATTAAAAAAGAAGTAAAGAAAATTACTGGCAAACAAATAGTCATAAACAACAAACTTATTGAGTTCATTTTTTTCTAGTTTAAATGTAGAGATATGTCATAATCTTTGTGAACAATAATACACACTCTGTTGAATATTTGGAAAGTGGGGAATAGAAAATTAGAAAGCTTGTGTAACATTTTATTTGTTCTTTTGTTTATTCCTTAAATGTTATTGATGTAGGGGAAATACTTTCACAATCTTCTCACAGGTGGCAATAGTTGGCATGCGGTTACTATTGCATATGATTTATCATTCAAAATCTACTTGTTCACTAGAGCTGTGGGGTAAGAGATAGACAGAGTGGTAGTGAAATATTTATTTTAGAATCTTACATTATAAGTATTGAATACCAAGTACACTTTTCTATATAGTTGTGCCTATCTATTGCGATCAGAATCCACATTATATTTTACTCCTCAAAAAAGAGTCAGAAAGTGATTCAATTCTTTGCTGCTTTCGCTGATATTTTATTCTCAAATGACAAATACATACCAAATGTGTAAGGTTCGAAGTCTTCTCAGAGCTAGGGCCAGGGTCTGTGGTCATTCTGATTCTGGCAGAAGCCTGAGAGTGGAATTGGAGTAGAAAGAACAGAGGAAAGTTAGAGCACGTTCGGGGATCTCTTGAGGTCAGTCTCCCAAATGTGGGAGTGAGTTTTCCCCTTACAACTTTTCTCCCCTCTCCCCTTTGGAAGCAATTATTTAACCACTGAAAATATAGACTTCATTTTAAAGAATAGAAAAAATAAGACAAAAATTATTCTCCCCATTTGAGAAGCACCGGGGAGCAGTAAATCCCTATTCTGTAAGAAAAGTTTGCTTTTTTGTAGCGTTAGTGGACACTTTTTGGCCTTGGTGGATAATGGACCTATAACAAAAACAAAAGAAGCAAAAGAGGGAGTAAGAGCTGTGCTGAGGACAGCAGCTAATATCATTAAAGGAATCTACCTAGCTGTGGTGCTATAGCCGAATTCACAGTAAATGCAGAAAGAATCCTAATATGGGTATGCCCAACACGTTG